TTTTTTTTTTTGGAGTCATCCGTTTTTTTTATTGACTAACTGTGTTAATGACGAAAATAAAGAATAATAATGAATAGTACAAAACCAGTTTGAAACTAATTCGTGTGTGAAACCTCCTCCACCAGAATGAACAGTAAATGTTGGGTTCTCTCTTTTAAGGATAGTGTAGATAAAATTAAAAGTGTCGAAAATAGTAATTTAACTTTTTATATTTTTTCACACAATTTCTTCCAACTTAGTTAAGCTCTTGTCTGGGCGTGGCTGGTCCGACATTAACACAATTTTTTATTGCAAGCCGGCTGACAAATATTTAGACAAATGCAGTAGCATTCACATCGCCCTCACTATTACACACCTCATATATGATAAATGCCATATTCATGAGGGTTAAAATGGTCAATGTGAAATGTTGATATGAATCAAAGACAGTACATGCAAGCTATGTGGGCCCGATTGATGTGACCACAACTTCAAACTTGTTTGTGTAAAAATTGCGCCAAACGCTCCAAATTTTGGTTTTAATCACGCCTAGACAGGTCCAAAAAATGTAATTATTATTACTAGTGAACTCTATTTATAAATTGCTCTTTGTATTTGATAAACAGATTTAACAATGTAATCGTCAAACGTATCAATGAGTATATTCTTTTTAATTATTTTAAAATAATATTAAATTTCTAAAAATCGAAAAGAAAAAAAAATACAACTTGAACAGTGTAGCTATAGCCGACAATATTGGTGGGTTCGTGAGTAGATCCAGGGCTTGTTTGGTACAGATTCTCATTTTCTACAGTAAATCAATTCTCATTTTCAACCATACATTTTTTAATAAAATAATATTTTCCATCACATCAATACTTTTTCTTTTTTTTTTTCAATCACGGATTTCCCATCATATCACTATTCAAAAATCAATTCTTCCCCCAAAAATCTCTACCAAACACACTCCCAGTTAGACCTTTTGGACATGCCGATTCGAACCTGTAATCAATCTGTACTAAATTGGGAAATTAATCAACAGTTGATTTCAAGCATTAATAAATTTTAGAAACTATAAAAAAAATTTAATAGATTATTATATTTTTATAAAAATCTTATTCAAACAATAACTATGAGTAAATAAGAAAACAATTTAAGGCATGTTTGATTCTCATTAATAAAATATTCTAAACGTTCTTACAAAACTTTTCCTTACTTTTTAACCACATTTTTCTAAAAATATTATTCAAACTCATTTTTTTTTCCAATTAATGGAAATCAAACAGGCACTTTAATAGATTGTCAACTTAGTTTGATAATGTTTTTATACTAAAAAACTATATTTAAAAAAAAAATGACAAAAAAAAAACTCTTGATTTAGTTTTATTTTACAAAATCATCAAAAAATCTTGAAAGTCTTATTTTAAAAAAAAAAAACACATTTTTTGTCATTTCACTGTATTTAATTTATTTTACCAATTAACTTTTATAAGTATATTTTACCAAAAGTATATAGATGTAAAAACTAGAAAGTATTGGTAGGTTAAACAAATAATAGCACTTGTACATGATTAGTTTTGCAAACGTAGCCAAACGGGGCACTTACAAAAATACCCTTAAAATTAGATGTGTTTTGAAAAATCATGTGAAAAGTTTTTAGGAAGTAAAAAATACTGTGTAAAATTAAAAAAGTGACATTGAATAAAAAATATTGTCACTTTTTTAAAAAAAGTGATACAAACTCAAAAAAAATGACACACACTCAAAAAGTGATACAAACTTAAAAAAGTGACAAATACTTAAAAATGTAACAAAACTCCAATCAAAACATATGTTTGTTATTGAAAAAAGTGAGAAATTTTTAAAAAGTAACAAACAATAAAAAGTGAAAAAAACTCAGAAAAGTAGCAGAAAAAAAATTACANAAAAATTCAAAAAAGTGGTAGGAAAAAAAGTTACAAACACACAAAAAAGTAACACAATGTCACTTTTAAAAGTTTTGTGTCATCTTTCTATTAAATACATACAATTTATATTTTATTAAAAATGATGTTTGTTACTAAAAAAGTTATAGAAATTTCAAGAAGGCGACTGAAAAAAGATGACAAAAAAAATGACAAAATTGAACCATGACAAAATCAAACCACCATGGTTTTGTTTAAAATAAAACCAAACCAAACCAATAACTATGTCAAATCGACCCGAGTCGGTTTGGTTTGGTTGATTTGATCAGTTTTTCGATTTTTTTGCTCACCCCTAATTTTGAGACTCAGATGTTACACATTGAACCATACAAGTATTTTATTAAAACAGCGTGAAAAAAAATAAGAAAATTAGAGGTTGTTCCTACTGTTGATGAATTTGATTTTTTTTTGTTAATATAATTGATAAATCCACATTAATAAAGGTAATAATAATTAAGGAAATAATTACCCACGTGGAGGTGTAAACAATAAGGAAATAATGCACCACTTTACCGTATTAAATACGTGCCAGGAAAAGTTTAAAGATGCAAGTGTATTAATCAATTTTTTAGCATCAAAACGGTACTTGGCCTAATTTCGCCATACATTTTTCTCCTTTTTTTTTTCAACCACATTTTCCAATAAAATAATGTTACACGTAAATTCAAAATTTTTCCTTCTATTTTAATTACACATTCTTAAAAGAATCACTATTACAAAATACTTTTTTTTTTCCTCCAAAATCTATTTATAATGGAGCTCAAACGGGGGCTTAAAAAGAATGTATAAATTATAACACAAGGAAGTCAATGTAAACAAGCAATTTGTTAATGACAATAAAGAGCAAATATTCGCAGTGGCCGCTACATCACCCCAATTTGATGACTTCTTCAGTATCTATTGAGATCACAAGTCAAGGAATCCAAGATAATAATATCCCAACGAAGATAGTCATTATTTGTGTCACATCTTCGAATTCGAAAGAAGGCCGTCTAAAGAGTTACCTTACCTTGGGCATCAGTTAATGCACTATAATCTCTATGAAGTGACAGGTTTTCCATTTAATTTGGGGAAAGGATCTTGCTTGCTTAAAACCACCACTTTACTTTTGTGAGCAAAATACCCCTTCATCAGATTCTTGTATATTAGAATCGAAACGATGCACTCCACCTGCACAAACACCTAACAGATCAGAACAGCTATTTTCCTGCAGAAACAAAAGAGAAACCGAGGCTGGCATTCAACCAAAAATATCATGATGTATACAATGACAAACTAAGCCACGTCCCATTAAAATGGAGACGTTCAGGCCATATAACAGGAACTCAAGAAAGTGAAATAAGAAAATTTACCTCATCAACATCCATATCCATCTCAAGCCATTTTAAAGCTTTAACAATAATTTCTAACTTGATCTGGTGGGCTTTATTTGGATCTTGCTGTTTTTGGATGATGTCTCTGCAGAACAAGTATGAAACTAACTGGGTAATACGATAGGTTCTTTCAATTAATTAATGAGGCTGTGTTACATGGGAACTTACATTTTCTTTATTAGTCGTTGGTAAACTTGGAGTTCCAACTTCTCTAGGACAAGATATACACCTGATCTTAAGAACCTGATGGAGTGGAGGTCTAAATATTTAGAGAGATGTTAGTGTTATAACTGATTGTATAAGAGGAAACCACAGATACCTGTCTTCATGTTCTTCAAGGGCATGTCTTAGAAGTCGCAGATCACCTCTCTTAAGAGCAAGCACAACATTGTTGTACTACAAAAGAAAAATGATAAAATGTAGTGTGTTATCCAGCAGTGGTAAAAGATCATACAAAAATTACTTAGGTTTCTAAATTTGTATTTCGTGTTCTTATTTTCGTACTTGACTTTAAGGTATGATTGTTTACTGGATAATAGTTTCTGATAAATTTCATAATTATAGACTACAGGAATAATAATTAGCAACTTCTGCTTTAGAAATGTCTTTCTTTTGTTGGTTGGAGAGGGGTGGGGATGGTGAGGAAACTGAAAACTACCACATGCTCAATAATTTTTCAAATAAACCAAGACACCCTGCTAGGTGCTTTTACTTTATATATAGTGTAATATTGTATGAAAAAATAAAAAGAGTCAACTGACATGACAATGATGACATACCTCACTAAGTTAAAACTTGTCAAGAAGTGAATTTTGTGGTAAGATGCCTATTGAGAGCTTCACAGTTATCAGATATTTCAGAATCATCCTATCAAACGTGGAAGTAAAGTTAGCATCTCGAGTATGCATAGACTCAGTTTTAGTCTTTACCTCTTATTAAATCTTTGGAAACACCAGATCAAACTTTAGCAGCCAAGATTTAGAAATAGGCAAACTTGACAATAATTGATCTATTCAAAAATAGGCAAAATTTGACAATAATCAACCACATATAACATGGAATGACGAATGTAGGTCAGTTCTGAAACTTTAAAAGAACCGAGCAGGAAATGATGATTAACAATTTCAAGTAACTCTCCCCCATCATACTCCACGAAGATATATTCAGTCAAAGATTTCAGTTAGCATTTCCCAACCATAAGGACATAAATCACAATTAAACCTTCACCGATTTCAGACCCTTCTAATGAGCATTTCAATTTCTCGATAGCATAAAAGGAAAGCTCCAAAAGCAATTGATGACTACACTAAATAAACAAGAATCCAACATCACCATCATTATGAATTCATGTTTATCGAACTAAACAAAGTGGCCACTTCTCTTTATAATATCCTAAATTTTAATCTAGATTCAGGTTTTCAAAAGATAGTAAACAAAAATTAAAGCAGAACCTAACCAGACCTTATATTTGCTTCTTTCAGAGGACTGCAATAAGTTAATGCGTAAGATAACTTATGCTCAGCAGCTGGAAAGTTCTCATTATACACCAAAGTTAATGCGTAAGATAATTTATGATCAGCAGCTGGAAAGTTCTCATTATACACCTCTAAACAACCAGTATAATACATGTAGGTGACCTTATCCCTGACAGGAAACTCCTCAAAGTCGAAAATCCTAGCTGTTTCAATGCTTCTTATCACACTGCGACATAAGTGGACTGTCCCAAGCTTGAAATAAATTTTAAACAGCTGGCATGTAACATATAAAGCTCCAACGCGTTTTGGTCCTTTTCCAGCAAGAACACCAAACACTTTCATGAGGAAAGAGCCAGCACCTTTCAATTTCTCTGGGGTTTTCCCTATTGAAGCCAACTCTTTATCAGCCTTCAATAACAACAACATAAATCAGTCCATTTCATGCCAGTTTCAGTGTGGCATTACACCTATCAAAAAGTTTCAGTGTAAGGAAACAGTGAGGGAAAATATTTAACTCTTACCCGCTCGGCAAGAATCCTAATTTCATGTGCAATCACACATAAGGCTTCCAAAACCCATGCTGATTCCCAATTTCGGAATTCTTGAATAAAAGAACTGTAATTCTCCACCATTAGGGCTTATACTATTTGGGAAAAATTCACATTTGCAGCGAATTCAATCTAAAATACATACTTGGCAGCTTTTTCAAAGGCCAGGTAAGACTCAACCAAATTTCTTAGTCAATAACTCTGCAAAGCACGGAATACAGGAGCTAGAATGTCTGCATACTGAGAGCTCTCCAATTGTCTAATAATTCTGTTAGCATCCTATTTATATAAATACCAAAGTTAAGGGAAAATGAAAAGCCATAATTCAGAAAAGAAAAATGCCAAGCTTATATATCACACGTATATGTGAAAAAAGATATACATATTTAATGATGTGTATAGTATACCATTTTATCCCTGGCAAGTCAGCTTCTTTAGTGGTAAAATTGCTCGAAAGAAAAATAAAAGAATATGAATGACTAGAGATCTCCATCCTAACAAGAGTAATAAAGAAAGTTCACAATACAGTATCAAATTCTCACAATAATAAGCCCCATTGAAATAAAGAGATTACATGTGTGTATATAGTTCAGAAAAACAGATCCAATAAAATAAGGAAGAGAAATATGATTGGAAATTCTTAACCGCATAAGTAAGCTTCCAAATACGATCAATTATCCAATGGACTAAAGAGTAATGTGACTTAGTGAAAAGGACTTGAATAGTTTCACTCTACGACATGAAAAAGCATACACTCAAAACTCCAAGAGCTTATTAAATTATACCAATTCATTTTTCATTCTAAAAGTGCTTAAACTTGCTCCATTAATAGTTATACAATTCCAGATTTGCCTTACCACTTGTACAAATGTTCAGAATAAAAGGTGAAGGACACAAAAACCTCAGGTAACACAGGCCCCTCTGAAGCATTGACTTGGTTTAAGACAAAAATGAATATTGCCACAAGAAATAAAAACTTCAAAGGTCTACATAATCATGAGCGTAGCAAAGAAAATAGAATTTTCCTCCACAAGAATTAGCAAGTTCTCTTCCTATTTTCTATCTCCTCTCCCTGCACATCCTAAATTTCAATAAATACGAACTATGACAAAAAACCTATTAGTCATACCTCTCTCTTTTTCTTCAATCATTTCCACTGGCACAGGGAAGCCAACTAACTCATACATGCCCACTTGCTTATAATATAGGAAAGTCAGAATTAGCTGATTTTGTAGTCTGATTTTCGAGTTTTACTATATTTTGTAACTAGTAAGTGTTCTTCTACACATTACACATTTCTCTCAAACACAACTTGGATATTTTTATATTGTATATACGGGATGTAAATATGAGAGTGAGTGTTTATCTATGTGCATTTTCCTAAACTTGCACCTTCTCGTTTTTGCTTTGCTTTCCTAAATTATTTAATAATCCAAAGCGAACCACAAGAAGCATTCAGGACATGAGATTATATGTCCCACTCTAAGCCACATCTTCATACTTCGTTGATTTGTCATTTGTAACTTCCACAAGGAGGATATGACATAGCTTGAATGGAACAATTTCACAAGGAGTTGTACAGCATATCATAATTCAGCTTTTTGTACATTAAACCTATGGTTAAAATGAAAAGCCCTCCCTCCCTCCCTCTCTCTCTCTCTCTCTCTCTCTGTGTTTATTTTTGCAAATACATTTCTTAGTCTTTTCCATCTCTGGTAGAAGTAATAGAAGTAATTATTGAGCCAACAGCATTTGGAATCAAAAAGGGTTCCCCATCATAGCACTTGGAAACAGCAAGAGACCACATAAATATGGTAAAGACGTGTAGAGAAATTATGTAGCAAGATGTGAAGGAGCAGATTTGAGGCGTAGAACAGCTACAAATGTTAAAGTGATCGGATATTCTGATTTGGATTTGGAACGAGTGAGAAAATTATGCACCTGTGGGATGGCCAGGTTATGTAGAAAATCTTTCCCTAAACTAAATTTGTAGAGTTGTACACACACATATAAGTAAACTAATGGGCTCTCGAATTCATTAGCTTTGGACAAGGGGATTCAAATAGCGCAAAAAGGAACGGCCAACAGAAAATAGCATCTATGTCCGCCCCAATCATATTGAAAAAGGGAAAAATGTAAAGATGTAGGAAATCACAATCCCACTATATTATGGAAAAGATGTAAACTTTATCCAGTAAAATCACTAGTTGTATGACAGCAAACATATAGCCAAGACAGAATAATAGAACAGAAAAACGAGAATTGGATCTTTTGCTATATAATGTAGTAGAACGTAATTTGCAATTGGTTGGCTTGCAAGTTGCTCCTGATACGCTGTGTCTTCTGGAAGGGGAAAATCCCAGCCAACTAGGTTCGATGTTTTCACAAATACATTAAGCAGCACTTGTAAGTACTCTTTCTCGTTTTGAAAGCACCAAGATTGACTCCTAATAATTAACTAACGAGTATAGACATGAGCCCTTTTTCATAATCCCGAGAATCAAACTCACCTGAATTTCTTGAGATATAATGAATACCTGGAAGGTGTCGAGGGCGTCAGCGAGAAATTGGAGGGAGGAGGAGTCGGAGGAGATGGAGAGGAGGCGGCTGAGAGATTTTCCGTCCTGAGATGAAACGGCGTCGGAGAAGCGGTTTAGGTACTCGGTGACTCACCGGTGGGCTTCTCCCATGCTCATATAGGCCGCCATTGTTGCCGCTGCGCCGCTGCAAATGATTGCCTGTGTGTCAGTAGCCTCTTTGTAAAGACGAAGTGGTTATCCGGCGTCGTTTCTAATAAAGCCCAATTCATGAACCGTGTGTAGTTGCATTTTATTGGACGATGAAATTTGTTTGAAAAAGACCCTTCCATTTCGAAGAACGCAGCTTCCTCTTAATGAAAAATATTTCAGTTTGAGCTTCGTTGTCTCAAAATACAATTTTTTTGGGAACTCATTTTTAATTATATGTTTTTTGGATAAAATAACTTACTCGTAAATTCATTAAAAAAATATATAAAAAAAAAAAAAAAAATCATGTTACATGTACATAATCACTCGCACAATCTTTTACACCGCCCTCACATGGAGGGAGTCCCACACATAATAAAATATTCGCGCACACTATTCATGTGAGACAGGTGTACGTATACCTGGTGTACAAACAGCTTTATCCAAGAAAAAAATCCTACTTTTTAATCACACAATTTCCAAAAAATATCATTATTATAAAACTCATTTTTTGTTAAACATGAGGCTCAAACGAGGAACAAGTGTGGTCAAATTCTGCTAAAAAGAGTGTGTCTAAATTTATTTTATTGAAAATGAATTCGAATTTAATTTTTTTTTTAAAAGAATAGAGAACTCAAACAGGGGCTACTTACTAGGTTTTCTCTCGCTAAAAACTTTTCTCTCGTTTTGGCGGGATTTTCTGGTATTCGCGTTGAACACACAGTAGAGCACGCAGTAGTAGATCTTGACTGGCTTCTAAACACTGACGTATCTCATCTTTTCTCTCTCTAAAAACTTTTCTCTAGTTTTGGCGGGATTTTCTAGTATTCGCGTTGTACACACAGTAGAGCACTCAGTAGTAGATCTTGACTGGCTTCTTCGTCAAGCATTTATCCTGATCGAATCTCAGCAGAAAGATGACCCAGGAAGGGGATCTTCCCCTGTCTCGGAAAACCTATGCTGATGTTACAGGAGGAAAACGTAATGTAGCTTCTGCGAAGGAAAAATCATTTGATGATGTTGCTAGAGAGCTCAGATCTGAAGTTGTGGAGGTTAGAGGAGCATCGGTGTTCAAGAATGAGCCATTTATACAGGTATCCCAGGAAGAAATTCAGAAATTGTCACAATTGTTCAAACATGGTCTGGTGGGTAAATTCTCTCATAAGAAACCTGCAACTAATTTGATTGTTCAAGCACTTAATTCTTTTGATCTTGGAGGGGAAGTGAGGGTTGGGAATCTAGATGGAAAACATGTTATTCTAAATTTTGAAAGAGAAGAAGATTATTGCTGAATTTTCGCGAAACCAATTTGGTACTTCCTTGGCACTTCCATGAGAATTTTAAAGTATACATACGATTTTGATCCACAGAAGGAGTCACCTATAGTTCCTATATGGATTGCATTACCTAATTTGCCTCTGGTGTTTTATGATAAGGCGATACTGTTCCCAATTGCGAAGGTCCTGGGTACCCCCTTAAAAATTGATGAACAAATAGCAAAGAAATCTAGAACGAATCTGGCTAGAATATGTGTGGAAATGGATGTTAATGCCCAGAAACTGGATAGAATCAGAATTGGAAATGAGACGTTTGCAGTTTGGCAGAAGATAGTCTATGAAGATCTTCCTCCCTATTGCTCATTTTGTAAACATGTAGGACATAAGATTGGGAACTGCTTTTGGAAGAAAAATACGAGTACTAATGTTAAAGATGTTCAGACCGATTATAAGAATAGAGAGATTCAGTACAAGAATAAGGGGAAGGAAGAATGGATTGAGAAAGATGAGAAACAATCTAAAATTCTGGAAGGAGAAAGCTCTAAAAATAATGAATAATAAGAAGGAGAAGTCATTGAGGATCTGAAGAGAGTGGAGGGAAACCAGAAGGAAAGTGTTGAGGATGATAGAGAAACAGAGAACAAGGTAGATAAGGATCCAACTATAAGCAACGAGATCCAGATTGAACTGAGAAAATCAGGATACTTTGATTGTTTGCAAAATTATGAAGAGGAGGATAAAGTTGGGGTGGAAATAATAAAAGAATTTCCTATGAAGGAGGATGACAGTCTGAACAATTTAAGCAAGCTAAGTTTAAATTTGACTGATCTAGAGGAAGAAAATTTCAACAAGTTATCTGGTGCTATAAGCTGCAGTAAAGTGCCTGATCAGAGGTCATTGGATAGAAATCAAAGTGAAGAGGAAGAGGGGGAGGGGGAGGATGAGTTAAACTCAGTCAAAGTACACAGTGCCACAGATGGAAAAGAGTTTAAGAGTAGTCTTAAAAAATTCAAGAGTATTAAGAAGAGATGGGGAAACCATCCAAACGTTAACTATGCAGTACAACATTCTAATTTGGAAT